CAAATTGCATTGTACCTTCCTTGCTTAGATAGCACTTGTGTTATAATGGTGGAGAGACATGATGTATGAATATTGGTCACGTATCATTTTTGATGGTATAGTGGGGTTAGGGGTGGAGGCAGAAAAGGTCTTGTGAAAGACAGTATCAGCAGATTTTTACTTCTTGAACAAAATGTATCATCTCCTTCCCATCTCTCCCTCTCCCTCTCCCTCTCCCTCTCTCTCTCTCTCTCTCTCTCTGTGTGTGTGTGTGTGTGTGCGTGTTAGGCCTGCATGGCTAATATTTGATATTCTAAAGAAAACACCTCACACAAACCCCAGGTTAGCTGTTGTGCCAGCGTTCCTGTGAAATGTGCCTCAAAAGCATGGTTTCATAACATGAGAGCTGTTCCATGCCTCTGGGGCAATGATCCGGGTTTTGTCCTTTTCAAAACGGTGTGTGAAGCTGAGTGCCCAGAAATTGTACAGAAACGTACACATAAAACACTGCAGAGATCTAGAGGCATTTAGAAGCAACACCGGAAAGTGAGAAAACAGATGGGCTGTGTGCGCCATACTACATAAATAAATAATACGACAAATTAAATAATTCATGCAAAGAGCTGAGCAGATTTACATATGCTCAGCAAATCTTGTAACAGTCAGCTTCCTGGATGGTAGCTCTTAATCATCTCAAAATATAAACAAAAATGCCATTTCTCATTGGTGGGTTATTGCTTAGTAAAATTCAAGCAGCAAAGCTACATAATATTGCCAAAAATTGCCTCAGTAGCCATCCAGAACCTTCAAAGTACAATTCGTCAACAGAATGTAATGTGGCAGGCCCTGTGCTTCTGTTCAAAGAGTTTGCTCCAAAACAACATGAAAGTATGGTTCGTTCTTAAACTGTCAGTTGATACAGATAATGGGTGGTGCTCAACCAAGTTTTACTCAGGGTAGACCCACTGAAATTAATGAACATGAAGAAGTTAGGTCCATTAATTTCAATGGATCTACTCCACTTGGTTGGCTACCATGTACTTAACACTCTCAAGCAGATGTGGCCTTCCAGATGTTGTGCGACTACAACTCCCATCATTCTTGACCTGTGGCCATGCTGTCTAGGGCTGATGGGAGTTGTTGTCCAAAACATCTTCTGCCAAAAGAGATGGGATGGACATTTGTCAAGTTATGATTTCTAGTTTAAATGTTCCCTGCCTCCATGTAGTAAACTGAACATATACTGCCAATAGAAATTCTTTGGTTGCTGGATTCAAAAATAGCAAGATATGAATGAAAAGGCAGCAGAGAGACCGTGCAGAACTCCTCAGTGTTGCATTTAATAACAGGTTCAGCACTAAACATCCATCTAGATTTTTCCACCTATTCCTCAAACCAGCAGGCAATAAAGCCACCACCTGCAATTTCTCAATCTGTTACATTTTTCAATGATTGAACATGTGAAACATGAGCTGAGAAATCACACCATCCTAGTGGCTGAAATAATTCTGGGGGAAATTCCTTTGGCTGCTTGGGGGAATGCATCATGCAAGTGCTTAACAGCATTTCACGACGCTGGGAAACTGGTTAATGCTTGACATTTTAGCGTACTACTGGATCCTGCACTCACATAGTAGGCCTGAAGATATGCAAAGGATATGTGGGACTGCAGAATTATAGCTCTATCAAGAGAAAATACAGACATATTTTCACCAGAAATATGTACCTAAAATTAGAAGACATGGAAATGGTGCAAAGCTGCTGTCAGTCATTCAGTGCCGGATTTACGTATAAGCTAAACAAGCTATAGCCTAAGGCCCCACTCTCTTGGGGCCCCCAAAAAAATATAAAGGGGGAAAATCTGGATGTACATTTCCAAAATATAAGATAAAAAAAAATAAAATAAAACCTATGTACAGCAACAGTGTTTTGTGTTGTGTAGGTTCCTATGATGTAAGTATTGGGCCCCGGCTGCTAGCCTGCTCCCTAAAATATCACTGGTTTGCTCATTTCTATATATAGGGTCCCTACATTCTGCATGTGCAAATGGCTTTAGATACATTACCATATAGCATATATTCAAGACGAAAAACAGCGACAATTTGTTGTTGACAAACGACAGCTGGACATATAAAGGGCCCCATTAACTTCAGTAGCCTAAATCCAGCCCTGGCTGCACCAGAAGGGACTTAAGGGTTGTCTATGCTTATGTTTGTTCCGTGCCTAGAATACATAGGTTCAAGTGATGGTTTTTATTTATTTATTTATTTATTTTGTTTACCTGTGCTTTCTAGGCAGTAGTCTGAGCAGTTTTCCCCTAGCCCCACTGCTTTCCCAGGGAAAATCCATTCTTTAGTGCTAAATTGGAAAAACCATCAATCCAGAGAAAACCCAAATTGCTGTTTGCTCCGATGGAGTGCAGAAAAGCAGTTTTCCCTGGGGGGCAGCAATGGGACAAGAGGAATAGTGAATAATCACTTAGAAGCCTAGGTCACAATATGTGGTTTCATGTATATTAGCAGTATGATGAAAATATCACCAGAAACCTTTCAAGACATTTGTACATCCAGTACAGGTTATGCTCCAAAAACCTGTTTCTAAACACATACTGCATCACTGGAATGAGCATGACAATTGCTGCTTCCAGTGATACAAACCCATTAAGGTTTAAAATCCGATTAACAATTCAGTTTTGGTAGACATGTACAACCCCCCCCCCCATCAGTTCCCAACATTAACACACAGAAATAGGGCCATCAGGACATTGCTTCTGTGTTCAATGCAGGGAAACCACATCATTAAAGATGTGTGTGCCATTCACCAATAATGATACAGCATTTTTCCATTGAAACTTGAAACGTTTTTGTGTGCAAGTGTAAACAGCAGAGCTAAGATGTCTCCCAGTGGTCGGTGGTGACTTATCATTATAATGCTTGAGAATTTATGGGATCCACTTCAGCCAAGAAAGGCAGGCTCTTCCCATTCTGCTCGTGGGAATAGAAAAGAGCATCAAAAATTATTAGCCGGAGAACAGTAACTATGGATTGCAAAGCAGTTCCCTCTCTTCTGAAGCAATCTAATTTTATTCTGTGAGAACCACGAGAAGCAGCAGCAGTATTAGAATGGTTCTGCTTTCCTGGCCTAGTTCCCCCTCCTCTATTAGTGAGCCTCCAGAATGCATTTGTTTATTTGCATTCCTAAACTGCTTAACATTTGGAGGGGAGGATGCAAAAATGCAACATAGAAACCACAGAAGACGTCATAAAAACAGATAAGAGGATCCACTCTTTTCAGTCAGGGAAAGCCTGGTCAAAAAGATATGCTTTTACAAGGCAATTGAAGCTACTGATGGTTGCTGCTTCATGTGTGGAAAAGAGGATAACAGAGGGAAATGCCTGGTTTTGCTTGACTTTAATTATGTAACCTGAATCTGCGGTGTGGGTGAATCCCACCCAAAGACAGTGACAGCCTGGATGTGCTGAGAGACAGAGAGAAAAGCTCCAACTTTTTCTGATGGTTTTCAGAAATCTTGAAGGAACCGTGCCCCGTTCAAAAGGTTTTTGCTCTTTGTGTGTGAAATGATGCCCCAGTGTGTGTCTTTTTCATTTCTTTGATTGACTGTTTAGCATCTGAGTCTTGCTTAGAGAGTTTTTAATGAAACAACTAATGAAACAACTAATAAATATAAATAAATGAAATGGGCAGGGGATCGAATTAGAACAGAAATTCAAAATTTTGCAGACAAACTCAAGGTTGGGAATTTTGTCAGGACAGCTCTAGCCCAGGATGAAAGCCGCAGTCAGTTAATTTGGCTGGGAGAGAAAAATAAACATTAAGGCTGCGTGCTATGTTAATATAATCACCATTAGGGAGTTTGCCAAATAAGTGCATCATATTTTCAACTAAGTGTTAGGCAATGAACTTTGCTATTCAGACAAGAATTTTATAGCAGCAGGAGGCAGGAAAGCCAGACACAGGAATGTTGTTATCCTGGAGGGTTTGGCTTCTAAGAAACTGGTGTTAAGCCAAAGAAGATTCAACATTATCCTCGCTGTTGCATAATATTTAATTTCAATTGACACCCAAATTTTCAGTTTTATTCACCCTAAATTAATTTCTAACTTACGACTAGGTAATGACTTTTGTCTTCGCTCTCGGTCACGAGAGTTCAGTGAAACCTGGATAGAAACTGAAGCACAGCACTTGTTCTGATGCAGAAATGAACCCACAAATGAGGGGTGCATGGTTATTTCTTGGGGGGGAGCCTGCAGCTCTGCATGCACATCAGCAGCAGCTTGTGTTTGCATTCCCTCCTCACCAGTGCTCCCCCCCCATGCAGAGAACTTAGAAACTATTTTTACACTGGATTTTCCTGGTGCACATAGAGCTTTTAAGCTATCTGGCTTGCTTTCTGAGCAAGGCTATCTCCTCTCACCAGTCTGGGATGCTCCCACAAGATTACATAAAAGTTTGGTTCCAAGGGTTTGAGTTCATGCATTTTGCCTATACGGGCGACCCTTGGAACTAAACTCCCACATAAGACACAATTGTACTGCAATGCCAAGGGTGCTGTGGGTGCTTGGACAGTAAACTATATGCAGATCCAAAATTGATAGATAATCTACTGAATTTGATGTCAACTAAAAAAAGGTAAAGGTACCCCTGCCCGTAAGGGCCAGTCTTGACAGACTCTAGGGTTGTGCGCCCATCTCACTCAAGAGGCCGGGGGCCAGCGCTGTCCGGAGACACTTCCGGGTCACGTGGCTAGCATGACATCGCTGCTCTGGCGAGCCAGAGCCGCACACGGAAACGCCGTTTACCTTCCCGCTAGTAAGCGGTCCCTATTTATCTACTTGCACCCGGGAGTGCTTTCGAACTGCTAGGTTGGCAGGCGCTGGGACCAAGCAGCGGGAGCGCACCCCGCTGCGGGGATTCGAACTGCCGACCTTTCGATCGGCAAGCCCTAGGCGCTGAGGCTTTTACCACAGCGCCACCCGCGTCCCTTGATGTCAGCTGGAGTGGGGGAAATCAAAAGACTGCATTCATTGCAAGGGAATAAGTTTCATGCATGTTTAATTACTTTACCTTGTAGTAACGACCGCTCATCATCGCAAAATGTGCTGGAAAGGTAGGGTATATAAATACCCCAAACATGCACATGTTACATAAAAAGATCCATAGCTGTTTGCTACTAAATTGCTGGGAAACAAATCAGAAAGATAAAGTTTATAAACACTGTGTGACAGTATATATGATTAGAACAGCTGCTATTATTCTCTGCACTTGGTAGGCTTAAAAATGATATTTAATTATAGGAATAAAGTTGATCATTGCTTATTTAAAAGTTGTCTTTAGGTTGATGATGTAGTACTGTTAACTATTATAAACTCACAAGAATCAACTGAATTCAGAGACTACAGCAGAGTCTCTGAGTATAAAATCGACTCAGGTGGTACAGATATTACGAGTATTAATATACTGTACTAGAAGAAATTAAAACTAAAATATCAAAACAAATGAATATTAAGTGGACAAACATTTCTATCAAATACTTTGGAATATATATAACACCAACTAATAAAATGATGTTTCAAAGTGAACGCATGATTTTAAATCACAGAAGTTCTGAAAAATGGATGAAATTAGAAATACCTTGGCTTGGAAGCGTATCAATATTAAAGATGAATGCAAATCTATTAAAGAGAGATTTTGTGTGTGTGTGTGTTTTCACACTTATTCATCACTACAACTAGTCCGCCTCTTCACACTACTGCAACCATTCTTACAATCCAGTTGAAAACTTTAATAAATATCTTTTTTTAAAAAAAGAAAGACTTACAAATAGAAACATGTGACTCCAGATTCGAATATGGGCAGCGGAATTTAACATTCGCAGGCGTGCATTGCTGATGATGTTGACAAGCACTGGAAAGCAATTGGTCACTTCCATGTGGCATATAAGTGTGAATCTGTATTTCTGAACCGAGACAAGAAATGAAATACAAGTTAGAAATTCAAACGAGTCAGTGAATGAATGCTGAGAAAATAACAGCCTGTAATGAAAACAGAAATTCATAGGCCTGCTTTATGTGTTATTTGTAATGAAGGTGTCCTACATCACTAAGTGCCTTCAAGTGTGGACCTTGGGCAGCAGATGGGGAAGAGTGGGGACAGGAGCCTGAGACAGCAGAGCAAAGTCTTGTCTGAAGAAAGATGGTAATGCTGGTACTGGAGTCTCTGTTCCTGTTTCCCTTCCTGTCGAGGAGAGAATGTTGCCAGAGGCTGTGGAGAGCTCAGAGCCACAGGCTGGGGTGAGGCTGAAGAGGATTCACAAGAGGAGGCAGGTCTGCCATTGTCTCCCAGGGTCAGAAGATGCCTTCACCAGTGGGAACAGAGGCACCCACCTTGATGGAGTCTGCACCTGCAGGCTAGACATTCTTACAAGGCTGATTCTTTCAAGGAAGGTATGTGCCGTGCCTTAGCTATAAACGGGGTTGTTGTTTTCAGCCAGAACTCACAGGAACTGAGCTCCAGCACCTCTCAGGTGGGATCCATTACCATTATAAGATAACAAGCGAGGCGTTCATGGTGAGTTCCAGCACCTCTTCTTCTGGAAAAGAGCTTGCTGGGTAGGTATACGAACTTGTTGGGACAGCTTCTGTTATGTACTAAGCTTGGATCCTAGAACAATAGGCAAGTAGGATCCTAGAATGCAACAACTGATTGGCTTGCAGGAAAAGACCAATCAGGCTCCAGGAGGAAGTTAATCAGCCTATTAGGCTGGTAGGATCCTAAAATGCAACAACTGATTGGTCTGCAGGAAAAGACCAATCGAGCTCCAGGAGGGAAACAGAATCAGCCAATCAGAGGGGACTCATTGTGTAATTAATGTATATAAAAGCCTGGGGTTTGGGGGGCAATTCAATCACTGTTTTACAAGCTGCAATAAAGAGCATGAAATCACTACAGGACTCCGAGTATATTTCAGCTTCATTGCTCTCATACAGTTGTGAACTTTGTGCCCCCATATTTTGGAATCGTGGCCTTGCTTCTAATTTGGCTGGGATGGAGCTAGCTGTTACCTGTTTCCTGATGCTGCACCAGTATTATACTCTACTTAAAGAGCATTTCTCTTTAACTGGGAAAGGCATTTAAAAACAGGCTTGCAAAACAGCTACGCTCAACACCACAAGATGCTGCTTGCTTTCAAATTCAAAACATGTACAACCATATTTGGTTACCAGGATTTTTTAGTATTGCTTTTATGAAGAAACAAGGACAGTCAAAGCTCTCCTTCATTGTTAGGGAGCCAGTTTCACACGATCCTAACCCCCTCCAGCCAGCGATATGGGGCTAAAGATTAAAAAAGGAAACCACATGGAAATGCAAAGAGTAAGTCTGCCCTGACATTTCCTGCCCCTGCACAAGCCGGCACAAGATGGTAACAGTCGATATGGGGCTTTGCTCCCTAGTTTTATCCCACTTAGGATTACACCCAGGGGGGTCCCCCCCGTTCAGAACTCAGTTCTGGCACCTCTCAGGTGAGCACCATTGCCATTTTAAGAAAACAAAGGAGGCGTTCGTGGTGAGTTCTGGCACCTCCTTTTCTAGAAAAATGGTACTGATTGCAACAAAAAATAACTGAAGTTACCTTGTCTTCAAGGGCTACCATTATAGCCCCATTGTGCACTAGTTGGTCACTGACATTTTTGCCAGAGACAACTTCTACCAGGACATTCTGATTCTTCACTGCTTGGATGAAATTGTCAATGCTTGCACCTGAAAAAGAAAACAAGGATTCACAGAATGACCGGAGGACTGTGGTAGAATCTTAATTTCTCAAACAGGAGAAAACCAAAATGAAGTGTAATACAGAATTTGACTTATCTTTGTGTAACATTTAATGCCTATTTATTTGCTAAAATGGGTTGTGTTATCCCACTAGCACAAATGGGCTTCCCACACCCTCTCCTCCCCAAACTGACTTGAGGGGAGGGAAGTTTGGGGAAAACCCCTAAAACAGCATGAAGGAGGAGATGAGCACTGACGGAACAATCGCCTTAGTGCCATCTTGAATTCCACCCAAAATTCTTAATTTTTTATTTTTACTATTGAGGTAATATTGGAATTATCTTATTCTTTTAGGACTGCCAATAGTGCCAGGCTCCATGATATGACCCCGTCAGTGAAGCAAGCTTTGAAGAGCCATATCCTGGTTGGCTGTAATCAAATTTTTGTAAGCAAATATCTGATACCTTACACAATCTGGCATCTCAGACAGCCCTGAAGGAATCCTCTTCAGAGGAGGACTTGGCACTCCCCAAAGCTAACATTATAGAGGAGCACGATGTATAATGGGGCAGTGAGACACAGCAGGGGATGGCAGGGAAGAGGGGAAGAGTGGTGTGTTCTTCTCACGTTTGAGGAGGATCGCCGATAGAGATCTCGCCTGATCTTGCCGGGAGACGCAGACGGGGAGGTCAACAAGGAACTCAAGCCGGGTTCCTGGAGAGTGGCCAATTCCTCTGATAAGGCTTGATTCCGACATCCTGCCAGTAAAAATGCTGCAACTGGTAGATCAATGGCAGCGAAACTTTCAACAGCAGCTGTGGCCCCATGCCAGCAAAGGGGCACCTGCACCACTCAGAACCCAAGCAGCCAGCAGATCTGGGGTTTAGGATTGGGCTGCCCCTATACTGATTCCTTTCCTTCCTATCTGAGTCCCTTACAGTATATCCAAATGTCAAGCACCCCCCAAAATGACTACAAAGTCAAAGTTATGCTTTTCCTTGGCCAAGCTGTAACAGTAATTTTCCATTGCCAGCAAACCTTTTTTAACACAGAAGGAGACACTTTTGGTGGCCACTTTCCCCAGCGTCTTGCTTTTCTTGCCACAGGAACAAGCCTTCTCACTTCTGTATTCTTTGCGCAAATTGCTGACTAGGATAACTGGTCTCTAAATAGGTGCAGAAGAGAGAAGCTTGCTTACGGCACATATACATACAGAATAATAATAATAATAATAATAATAATAAATAAATAAATAAATAAATAAATAAATAAATAAATAAATTGTATTTATATCCCGCCCTCCCCAGCCGAAGCCGGGCTCAGGGCAGCTAACAACAATAAAACAGTACAAAAGTACAGCACAAACAACATTATAAAATTAATTAATTCAAGCCACTGGCAACCATTGGGCCAGAGCTCCGCAAAGATTGCCGAGGGAGGGAGTCAGGCTGTGCCCTGGCCAAAGGCCAGGTGGAACAGCTCTGTCTTGCAGGCCCTGCGGAAAGATATCAAGTCCCACAGGGCCCTAGTCTCTTGTGACAGAATGTTCCACCAGATCGGAGCCACAGCCGAAAAAGCCCTGGCTCTGGTTGAGGCCAGCCTAACTTCTCTGTGGCCTGGGACCTTCAAGGTGTTTTTATTTGAAGACCGTAAGGTCCTCCGTGGGGCATACCAGGAGAGGCAGTCCCGTAGGTACCTTTGGTTTAAGTGGGTCAAAGCAAGAACCATGGAAGACATTCTGCTTCAGACAGAAACATAGGAAGAAGTTGACTTATAATAAGCCAGGCTATTTGTCTATTTACTCTCTGACTGGTGGCAGCACCCCAAGATAACAGGCAGAGGATTTCCACGCCCTCTACCTGAATAGTAAAGAGAGGCAGAGGATTAACTCTGAAGCCTTCCTGTACGCAAAGCATGAGCTCTATCAGTGAGCTGTGATCCCACTCCAAAGCTAAATGCCTCACGTATACATCATTGGATAGTACTAACTGTGCCAGCATCCCCACCACACACCTGTGCAATCCAAACAACTGTCAGAACTGTGGCATATTAAGAAACCAGATAAAGATGATGTAAGAAAAGATGATGCTTCAAGACCCAGATCCCAGAATTATTGTTAGGTCAAGTAGCTCACCTTAACATTAATATGTTAATATTAATAAGCCAAGACAGTGGTTCCCAATCGGTGGTCTGCATAACCATTCACATAACAAAAGCTATTGTAGAGATATCAACATTTTCAAAAGTATGGGGGTGCATGGCTTGGCTTTTGAAAAACAGGGTATCTGCAGTACTTAGTTTTCCAGCACCTAAGGTACTGACACTCTTCTTCCGGACACTAATATCTCATCCCTACATAGAGCTCTGTTTATCTAGGAGGCCTCAGTCCTTTTCTCTTAGCATCTCTTCCTCCACTTTTTCCAGCTTTTATAAGAAGTACCCGTGGAGTGCCAAAAATGTTAGGTGTTTGAGCCTTAAAAGCTTATTTTCCAGAGTGACCATAAGTTGGAGCAGGCATCAAGTTACAGTACACAAGCAAATCACTGCAATGAATATCAGAGCAAGCTATAAAGCCTTTCTAAAACAAGGAAATCACAATAATTCTGCTTTACCTCTTCCTGATTTGCACAGGCCAGTGCACTCTGAACTCTTGCCCTTTCCTCTTGAACATCTCTATCATCGCCCTGACTGTCCTCTTCAGGATTCCGATGGCTGCTCTTTCTCTGTGGAGAAATCCTACAGATCAAAGACACCACACAAAGTGTTTCAAAAGCACTGCACACCAAGGAATGAATTCCATTCTTAAGTAGGAAAGCAGAAAACAGTCCATAAGGAAGCAAGAATCTCTGAACTTAATGTGCAAACTCGTCACAGCCCAGAAAATGCTGCCTTACAAAACTACATCTGCCTTTGCAGATAACTGTCCCAAACACATATCGGGGGGGGGGGCTAGGCAGAAACATATGCATAATTATAGTTTGTATATCCCAAGCCACAGTATTATTGTTGTATGAATTTTGTTGTGGTGGTGGGGGACAGTCCACATGATGCCCCAAGTCCCTTCCAATCTTTTCCTTCCTCTATCTGTAGGGGGGGTAGGAGGTATGAGAGCAAGCTCATCAAGCCAATCTCTCTAGGCAATGGCTGTGGCTGAGTAGATAAGCAACACAATAAGCATAATTGCTCTGCGCCATACCACAGATCTGGATCCTGTCCGGAGCCTGGGTGTAGGCTAGGGCCATGGCACGACTCCATCGGTGACCCTGGCGGTGCTCTTAATTGATGTATATCATAGGGCTCCCCCCTACCGGTGGTTTACCCTAATGAGACTCCCTGCAGACGGGCAGAAATCAGGATATCATTTCGCCCTATGCCTAAGGCAAACCGCTCACATCTGTAACCAATAAAGGTAAAGGTAAAGGGACCCCTGACCATAAGGTCCAGTCGTGACCGACTCTGGGGTTGCGGCGCTCATCTCACTTTATTGGCCAAGGGAGCCGGCGTACAGCTTCTGGGTCATGTGGCCAGCATGACTAAGCCGCTTCTGGCGAACCGGAGCAGCGCACGGAAATGCCGTTTAGCTTCCCGCCAGAGTGGTACCTATTCATCTACTTGCACTTTGACGTGCTTTCAAACTGCTAGGTTGACAGGAGCAGGGACCGAGCAACGGGAGCTCACCCCGTCGCGGGGATTCGAACCGCCGACCTTCTGATCAGCAAGTCCTAGGCTCTGTGGTTTAACCCACAGCGCCACCCGCGTCCCTTCTGTAACCAATAAAGTTGTTGCCTATTTTATCCCACTAAGCTAAGCATTTGTGTCTGTGTGTCTATTATCTAAGGGAACTGTGGAGCCCGGGGCCTCGCCAGGCAAATACAAGAACAATAGCCAGTGTAGTATAAGCTAGGCAGAAAAGAGGTGGAGAGGCTGGAGACACAAGAGACATGCTTGCTCTGTGCTGGGCTTTGGGGCTTCCCTGGAAGCTTAATGGGAAAGCAAGATCTGTTGGGAAGTTAATGCTGTTAAGGCCCCTCCAGTCCCTGCCAGTCTCAAGAAAACTGAACTTGAGAATGTGCTGAAACCCCTGGAATCTCTCACCATTTGGAGACTGGGGTGGTGTGTAACATTATTAAGATCACCATTATTATTATTCTATTTATAAAGTCAGCTCCTGGAGCTAAAGATTGATTGTTAACGATGTTAACATTGTTTTAAAGATTATAAATGCTGTATTGATTTGTTAATCATATAATATGGCTTGCTTTAAATGTGACGTTTATCTTATTTTTTAGTAGTTGATTTGTAAGCAGTGTTTTATAGATTGCAAATGTTCTACGGATGATTTGTTAATTATTCTATTTCATTTATGTTGTTATTTGTGATGTTTTATTACGTTCTATCATGTTATCACTATATATATTTTTTGTTTGTAAGCCGCTTTGGGATTCATTTGAATGAAAAGACACATAGAAATATAATAAATCAAATCAAATCAAAACATATATTCTGCCTATGTGAGGCAATTTTTAAAAATCATACTTTAACAAAAAAATAATATCCTCTTTTTTCAGAAGTTTGGCTCTACGGAAGAAAACAAGCACTCTCATGAAATGAAAGATTCCTAAAAATTATGAAGGTGTTTGTTAAAACTTGCATATCCTCTTTAAAACAACAACTGTGAAATGAATCTTCCTTTGTTGTTTAGTCGTTTAGTCGTGTCCGACTCTTCGTGACCCCATGGACCAGAGCACGCCAGGCACATCTGTCCTCCACTACATCCCGCAGTTTGGTCAAACTCATGCTGGTAACCTCGAAAACACTATCCAACCATCTCGTCCTCTGTCGTCCCCTTCTCCTTGTGCCCTCCATCTTTCCCAGCATCAGTGTCTTCTCCAGGGAGTCTTCTCTTCTCATGAGGTGGCCAAAGTACTGGAGCCTCAGCTTCACGATCTGTCCTTCCAGTGAGCACTCAGGGCTGATTTCCTTAAGAATGGATGCGTTTGATCTTCTTGCAGTCCATGGGACTCTCATCTTCCTTTACACATTGCCAAACACATCAAAGCAGAGTTTTTCAAACCTTTCACACTGGTGACCCCTTTTTAGACATGCATTATTTCACAACACAGTAATTGAGTTTTACTAGCAAACTGGAGGTTAAACTAACCCCTTCCCAGCCCCAGGAGGAGAATTGGGGTTTGGCTTTTGCTGCCCAACTCCCCATGGGATTCTTTGAGTCCCCTAAGTCCATGATTTTTACCTCAGCATGGGGAGCATTCACACGACACACCTACACACTGCAGCCGACACACTAACCTTTCGCAACACAGAGTTTGGAAATCTCTGCCTTAAAGTTTTCATGAAATAAATAAATAAAGCGAACCAAGGGCTGGGTTAAACTAAAAAAGCCCCGCCAGTGGAAACCTGTTCAAGAACTTCCAAAAGTACAACAGGACTACCCCAACTCCTCCACCCATTACTGCATCAAATTGGCTTGGGGAAGGGGTCCAGAGAACCCCTGGAACAGTAAGTGGGAGGAGAGAGAAGTTGATTCCCTCAGGCCAGCAGAGATGCAGAGCCATTTGCTTAGTGCTACACTGAATTACTCCCAGGGGATATTGGGAATCTTAAGCGCAGAACTAGGAAAACTTGCTTTTTTAAAAGAGAGAGAGAGAGGAAAAGAGAGAGGGGGGGAGAGAGAGAAGAACCTATGGATATAAAAAGTGAGGTACAAATGTACATTGGAAGTCGAACGGAATCCATTCCGGAAGTACATTCAACTTCCGAAAAGTTTAGAAAACAAGGCACGGCTTCTTATTGGTTCCTGATTGCGCAGGCGCTCCGGAAACAATAGCGGAAGCTGCACCAGACATTCGGCTGGAGAAAAAAAACATTCGAAAACCGGAACACTCACTTCTGGTTTTCGATTGTTTGGGAGACAGAACGTTAGACTCCCAAGGCGTTCGGGAGCCGAGGTATGACTGTATGTATTTGAAAGTCATCATTTCAGAAGAAAAACAGGAAAACCTTTTGCATTACTAAGTCTGACTGCATAAGCAGGTTAACCATATGTGTACAAACCTAAACACAGGATCTCTTCTCATAACTGGCCTGCCATATTTCGCCGTCAGACAGCGAAGTAAAAGAATGAGAACCACAATGTGGAAGTAAGGCTAAACAAAACAAAAAACAAAAAAATCAGAAACAACCAATTATGTTCAAGAAGTGTACAGACCTATAACCAATTTAAGTCACTATATTTGGGCTACAGTCCTATAAACCAGTAGCGGGGGTGGCCTCTTTCCTCTTCATTTGGCCCATGCAGCCATCTGGGGTAAACCAACACACCTGCCAATCATCTGACATCCTAACCATACCATGCCTGGGGCAACTAAGGGGATCTCCCATCTTAACACCACAACACTAAGATCAGAGACAAGCAAGATGCTCTTATCTACAATGTGGTCTTAGTGTTCTAGTGCTCATCAGTAAGATAGGGAGATAAGATTCCTCTCCTTGCCATTTAAAAACCAGGTAGAGAGATCCATTGTAGAGAAGGATTTTGTATGATGTAGGTACACTTTCAGAGCTCTGCGCACATCCAGGGAGTGCCAGGCTTGCTTCTTAGGTTATTTTGGATGCAGACGGAAAGTCAGAGAGTCAGATCTTGTTGGACGTGGAACCTAGATAGACTTTTGGAAGGAAGGAAAGAGTCTGAACATAGCGCCACCTTATCCTTGTGGAAAATACAAAGACGTTTAGGTGTAGAAAGGGCTGAAAACTCTGACACTGTGTGCCGAAGTGATTGCCACCAAAAGAGAACTTTGAAGGAAAGGATCCTTAGGGGTGCAAGACATATAATTGATATAATAGAAAGGTTGGAAGCGAAAAGAAATTGTAAAGCAATGTTCATGTTTATTGATGCTGAAAAGGCCTTTGATAATGTTTCTTGGTTATTTATGATGAAAAATCTAGAAAAAATTGAGGTTGGCCAGGAATTTTTAAATGGTATTAATGCAATCTATTTTGAACAAAAAGCAAAAATCATAGTTAATAATGTGGTCTCAGAGGAAGAATTGAGAAAGGAACCAGGCAAGGGTGCCCGCTTTCCCCTCTGCTATTTATTTCTGTTCTGGAGGTTTTGTTAAACATGTTGAGGAAAGAGGAGGAGGTTAAAGGCATTGTAGTAGGATCCAAGCAATATAAATTAAAAGCCTTGCTGATGATTTGGTTTTAACATTACAAGATCCAGAAACCAATGCAGTGAAAGCACTGGAGCTGATTCAAGAGTTTGGGCAGGTAGCAGGATTTAAATTAAACAAGAGCAAAACCAAAGTTTTAGAAAAAAACTTAGATAATGAGGAAAGAAAAAAACCTTTTTGAAAGGACAGGCCTTGTTTTGGTGAAAAAAGTTAAATACTTGGGTGTGAACTTATCGGTAAAGAATTTGAATCTTAACAAAGATAACTATGAAAAATTATGGAATGAAATTAAGAGAGATCTTGAGGTATGGTCAGATCTAAAACTCTCATTGATGGGCCGAATACCGGTGGTTAAGATGAATGTATTGCCGAAGATGCTGTTTTTATTTCAAGTTTTACCAATCATTGATAATGTCAAATGTTTTAAAGAATGGCAGAAGGTATTGTCTAAATTTATCTGGCGGGGGGGGGGGGGGACTAGAATTAAATACAAATTACTTACAGATATAAAAGAAAGAGGGGGCTTTTCCCTGCCAGATTTGAAGATATATTTTGAAGCTGCTGCATTCTGCTGGATCAAGGATTGGATACAATTAGAGAATGATGATGTGTTAGACTTGGAGGGACTGGATAATCGATTTGGATGGCATGCATATCTATGGTATGACAAGGTAAAGGCCCACAGGGGTTTTAAGAATCATGTAATTAGAAAGGCATTATATAATGTATGGACTAGATACAAAGATCTCTTAGTAAGAAAAACATCAAAATAGATTTCACCAATGGAAGCACAGGCCCAAAAAAAGTTAAATATGGAAAACAAATGGTTGAGGTATTCAGATTTGTTGTTAGAGAATCAGGAAGGTTTTAAATTAAAACCATTTGAACAAATTAAAGATAAAGTTAATTGGTTGCAATATTATCAAATTAACAAATTATATAAGATGGATAAGAGAAATGGTTTTGCAACAGAAAAAACCAAATTGGAAACTAGAGTTGTTAGATACTAATGATAAGAATGTGTCTAAAATGTACAGTTTGTTGTTGGAGTGGCATACA